GTCCCCCCAGCGCCTCCCCCTCCCCCCCCGCCGTCAGCTCGGCGGGCAGGTGCCGCACCAAGAGCGTCCGGCCGCTCCGCCGGCCCGTGACCCCCGGCTTGGCCGCAGCCACCTCCTCCGCGCAGCCCGGCGCCGCCATCCCCGCCGCGGCCGGAGGGGGGGGGCGGGACAACAACCCGGAAGCGCTACCCGCGGGGCATCGCCAGGGGACTGTAATTCTCGCGGGAACGTGAGGCGGCGGAAAGGGTGGGAGCACCTGGAAACCCTCAACGCTCGCGAGACCTGATGGGGTCAGGTCGTGCCCCCGGTCACGGAGTGGTGGTGTCGCTAGACAGTGGCGGGGCGGGGGTGTGGACTGCGCATGCGCTGACCCTAACGAGCCGCAGGCGGAGGAGGTGCTGGGTTGGCTGTAGGAGGGTGCAGGCGCGGGTGCGGGTGTCGCTTCCAGCCTGCGTGCCAAGCAGAGCAATCTGCGTGGCCCTGGTGCCTGAGCATGGCGCACAAAGGCATTTAGCTTGGCCTGCGTGCCTGTGGGCAGACCCCAGGGAAGCTGAGGGGCCTGAGCCTTGGGGCAGTGCAGCCCTGCGCCCTTCCCCACCTTCGTTGTTAGCAGTCCTTCGGAGTCGTGGATGCTGTCTGTCTGCTTGATGGGTCCTCGGGTGATTGAGGAGCCCGATTCTGTATGCACACTTTCTTTGGCAATGGCGGCATGTTGTTGCACGGGAGAGTGGGATTTGCAGCTCCGACTTGGTCTCCTCGTTCCTCCGCTGTTCTGCCTCAGTATCGAGTGTTGGGCCTTGAAGTGGTGCGTCCTGTGGTGGACCAAGTGGCGCCACACTGAATGGTCAGCAGCTTGCTCCTCCCAGCCATTGGTGTCGATGCTTCTGTGCTTGAGAGCAGCCTTGAGTGTCTCCTTGTACCATTTCCTTTGGCCGCCCTTTGGGCATTGGCCAATGGAGAGCTGGGAAAAGAGTCTGGCGAGGGAGGAGGTTCTCAGACATCTGGATGCGGTGGCCTGTCCATCGCAGTTGATTTCTCAAGAGCAATGGTTCCATGCTGGTGGACGCAGCTTCATGGAGGATGCTTGCACAGTCCTCCCATTTGATCCCCAGGATTAGACACAAGCACCGCTGGTGAAAGCTCTTGAGGGTCCTAATGTGGCATCAGTAGCTGGTCCAGGTTTTGCTGCAGTAGAGACCAAGGCAGTGCAGCCCTGATCCCTTCCCCACCCTTCCACCTGGAGGTGCATGAGCATCCACCACCGGCAGTGAGCTGGGCCAGAGCTCCATAGACCCTGGTGCAGCTGGTTGCAGCTTCCCCACCACCTGCTGCAAGCAGCCCAGGCTCCATGGCACGGGCCTGCCCAGAGCCCCGGCAGGCAGCTGGGATGCTGCAAGTGGCTGCACCAAGGCCTGTTCAGCCCTGGCCTGGCTCATTGCTGGTGGTGGCAGCACCTCAGGGCAGATGTTGGGGAAGAAGCCAGGGCTGCTCTGCCACAAGGATCTGGCCCCTTGTGGTTCCTCTGTCTGCACCTGGCATGCCAACATCTTAGAAGTCGAGGTTTGAGGTGTTTTAGGCCCTCTGCACAAAAACATTGCCTTATGCTATGCATCTCCGGCCATGTCTATGTGGCCCATAATGTAGCTCATTACTACTATGCAGTAGCATTGCGTGGCATGAAATGTGATGTGGTTTTACTGCACAGTAGTAACAAGGTACTGCACAGTCAACATTAACAAAAATCCTGAGTGGAGCATTACTAATATTTTGATTATGCTTTGTGGACAAGGAATGAAACTCCTTTTTATGTGCTGTCACCTGACTTGAAAAGGCGGGGAGTTTTTTTTTTTCACCTAAAAATTATATTAAAAATGTTGACATTCTATCTCCTTTTGGTACTGTAGTACTTTAAAATAATTTTGGCCGGCTTTTGGGGTACAGCCAGAGAGAGGGTGGAGGGACATTGACTCCTGGCACTGCCAGAACATTTCTGGGCACTGCACATCAGGCGGGTTAAGGAGAGGGAGGTTCATGGATTGTCCAAGCCCTGCATTGTCCTTTTCCCCCCTGCAGGTCATCAGCCTGGGGGGTTTGTTTGCTTCACAACCCACCTCCCTGGGCCAGAGCTGGCCACTGCTTCCCAGCAGTGTCTCAGAGCCAGCAAGGAAGTGGCTGGGGCCCATCTGGACACAGCACACATGGAACCCTGTGCACTGGGGAATCCAGACACAGGGGAGTCCAGACTGTCTGGGGGGGGAT